AAGAGCGTCTTCAGGCTCTGTTAGATTGTAGGAAATTTAATATACGCTATGGCATTTGTTTCAAAGCTTAGTGGAACGGTTTATGCAGAGAGAGTTGGACTGCAGTTTAAACAATCTCTTGCTCTGTTCTCGTAAGTTTGGACTAGAAGTTTAGATTGCATGTCAAGGGACAGAAGAGTGACTGACCACAGCATGGTCCATATTCTCAACTCCGTTATTTGCTTCCCTCTGGTACAACAATTTGCAGCCAATTGAAGCACTCTTAGTATCTACTTTAGTGTAAGTGAGCAGGGAAATCTCCTGCATAGGGAATTCTTGGTGTATGAATACAAATGCTCTGCTTCACATTATGGTTAATGTGTATTTCTATATTGTCATTGCTTTTATACATATCAACACCATAATGGATACATTATATATATTTCAACATACATATAAAAAGTAGCTGCTAATATGTGCTAGTTGAAGATGTACTGATGTTTCATTTTAAATGCTTCCTCATATTCACCATCAATAAAATTCTGCTCTTACATAATGAAGTTTTTGTCCAAGGTCTCAGTACAGAAGCAAATTTCTGTTGATAGCTTTTCAAAAGTGGAAGTAAAGATCTTCAGCTCTTTCTGAATTTTGCAATATTTAAATGATATATGTAATATATGTAAGGAGAAGGCATAAATTGATATTTTCTGTGTGAAGAACTGAAGATAACTGAATGCAAACACTCAGTTATCAATCCTACCAAAAAAGCTTACATAGAGGCTGAAGTGCAAGTGTGTGAACCATTCCACCAAATGCAAAACATTTGCTATATCATAAAATGTTGATGGTTGAGTCAGAATGACCTGCATAATATTTCACTTATTAAATTGGAAGAATGAAATTTGTATTAATACATGTTAATACTAGTATTTTACATACACCTGCAAACAGACATACCTATGCATTACCAGCACATAGCAGTTAATAGCTGTGATAGCAATTATGAGATAGATGCAATAGTCTTACCTTGTACCTGTAAATTCAAAATTATTTCATCTGATCCCCAGTTGTTACTGGCCACGCAACTGTAGTATCCAGAGTCTTCTGCTTTCACAGTACGGATGACAAAGCTGCCATTGCTAAAGATGCTTCTTCGCCCATCAATCATCACTAGACTGGGTGTCCCGTTACTACCTCACAGGAAGCAAAGTGCATACATTAAAGAAGTTACAATCAAAGTTACTCAGAATTGGATTTTTTTTTGAAGCAACTAAGAATGGAAAAAAGAAAAAGGTGTGTGTGGAGTCCTCTTTAATAAAGACAACAAAGGAATATTTTCTGTTGGGAAACATCTGCCACTTGCTTAAAGAATGCACATATCCTGGCCCCAATTTGAATGAAAATGGAAATTCACTCCTTCCTTAACTATCTGCTATTTCATAAAAGTGCCAGAATAAGAGTAAAAGGAAGTTAATGGCTACAAATTCCATCCTTATAAAATAATAGCTATTTGTATCAGTGCACAAGATGGTTTCATAGCACTGCAGTATCACTGCTTACAGAGTGCTTGGATGAAAATTATTGCGTGTTTGGATGAAAAAACATGTGTGTTTCCAACTGACTCTGTCAAACTGTGAAACTAAAGACCAAAAGAGAATAACAGAAAACAAAATATGTGCAAGACATATACACTGCACTCCACAGCACGATTCAATGCATCAGACATTTTGCTTTCTCAGACTAAAACTATTTGGTATGCCTGAAATTAAAACAGAAAAGACTCCTAGGTTTTATGTTTTGAATGTTTACATTTACCCCTTCTTTGTAACCTTTCCTTTCTTTTGATACCTTCTAATCACCACAGCCAATTAATTTGAGTTCAAGGAATTTCTGAACTACTCGTCTACTGTGCCTGTGTGCAGTCCCTGCAAATGGTCCTTCTTCCTGACACTGTCATCCAGGATGACCGGCATCGCACCCCTTAGGATTTTAAGCAAATGGGCTTTATTTGAGCTATACATTTAGTTGCTGGTTACCTATCCTTCATCCATTTGACTGTTGGAGCTGGGTCTCCCACAGCTTTGCAAGGGAGGACAATGTCCTTCATCCAGGGAGTTGTCACCGTGCCGCTGAATGTCAAAATCCTGGCAGGAGCTGAGCAAGAGAGAGCAAGAAAGACTGAAATGAGGTGTTCATTCATACAGACCTTGAAAGGGAAACACAGACACCCAGAATTAAATGTGGAAAACCAAACCAAGCTGCTTCAAGCTATACTTTTCGGAAACAAATTCATTTTAACTCATAATATCAGCTATTTATTCAGGCACAAATATTATAGTTTTAGTATCTGGAAGACAAGTAACTAAAAGAGAGATGAGGTGGAGGACTGGAAGAATCCGTGTGGAGAAAAAGAGCAAAACCAGTTATTGATCATCTCTACTGATTTCTATATATTTCATAGTAGAAATTATGGATGAAAATATGTCCAAAGGATGCTTCTCTTGAAACTTCCAGCAGGAAATGTCCACAGTAGACAGATGTCTTACAAAAGCTAAATTATTGATACATCACTGTTACAGCAGCTACGGTATTAAGCAAAATAAACCTTCACATATGTACGTGTTAGTACATTGCAGAGTCTTTCTGAAGTCCACAAATATGAACAAATTTTTAAGTCAGTTTAATTTGTGTCAGCTCTTGTATCACCTAAATATATCAACAAAAAAACCACTCTTGTAGTTTCAGCTTATAATATACAGGCATACTAGGGTCGTGTTAGAGCTTTGTTGTACGTTATCACTCAAGAATCACCCTTGATAGAAATAGACTTCTTGTTGGTCTCTAAGTATATATTTCAAAGGCACACACTGAATACAGATACACAAAATACTGTATTTTTAATCTTGATCTGCTTCAGTCACAGAATCACAGAATCACAGA